TTTTTATATATATATATATATATATATATATATATATATATATATATATATATATTCGCCTAGTTAACACAGAAACAGTCTTTTTAAAAATGGCAAAAAAGGTAATTAATATAATAAAAATATAAGAGTTAATATTAAAGAATATTTAACGTTTAACGATTTGTGCATATTATATTGCCTTTACGAGGCATAAACGCAGTAAAGGCTGTCATGAATTTTTTAACGATAATTTAAAATGATAATCATATCTAAACGTGCGTAGTATAGTATAGTGAGTATAATTTATGTGATAACGTTATGAAACGATTTTGTCTTTAATGTACCTATAATATCGTTATTTCTGCCAATTAATGATTACAAAAAGCGGAAGTTAATTATGTTTTTTAATTATTCACATGATATTTTATTATTTTTTCATTATTTCTTTATATTTCTCAAGAAAAAAACGAAAAATTAATTTTAATTAAAGAAGGATCAGAAATGAAAGATCGCAGATTGAGAGAAGAAATTATTTTTCTTCAAAATTGACCCGTTTGTTTGCAGCGGGAATGCATATCTATTCACATAGGACAAGCGGGCGTGCAAATGGGAAATGCCTGCTGGGAGCTCTACTGTTTGGAACATGGTATCCATCCAAATGGACAGATGCCCAGCGACACTACCGTAGGATACGGAGATGATTCTTTTAACGCGTTTTTCTCCGAGACAGGTTCGGGGAAACATGTCCCACGAGCAGTTCTAGTCGATCTTGAACCAACGGTGGTGGGCAAGTGTCTTTAAAGATAATTATCAATCTTCGATAATTTTAATTATTAAATACTCCATTAAATTAATTGAATTAAATTTTTACATTATTAAATTCTTTTTCTAAATATTTTAATTCAACAGAAAGTTTTTAAAATTTCTATTTTACATTCAATAATCATTCAATAATCTTTATATATATTCTTACATATTTTAATTTAAAATATGTAATTTATTATATTATTATATTATATAATATAATAATATTGTTATAATATAATAATAAAGTATTATATTTTTATTTATAATATTTTATTATATACTGTAACATTTTTACATATCTTAATTTAAAATGTAAAAATATTATAGAAATTATTGAATGTAAGATGAAAATTTTAAAAACTTTAGAATTCAACAGAAACTGTTGAATTAAAATGTCTAACAAGAATTTAATAATGTAACAATTTAATTAAATTAATTTAATTAAGTATCTTAAGAAATTTAATTATTAAACCTTAAATGATTTTTAATTCTTGTATAGCTCTTTTAAACGCACGCATTATATATTAAAAATTGGTAAAATGAAGATATATAAATTATATTTTTGATATTTTAGACGAGGTGCGTACGGGTACTTACAAGCAATTGTTCCATCCGGAGCAAATGATTACTGGCAAGGAAGATGCGGCTAATAATTATGCGAGGGGTCATTATACAATAGGTAATCTTCATTTCCCGTTACAACATCTATATCTGTAATAAGACAAAGGCGGTACGCGGAATAAGGTGTTACAGTAAAGGCACAGAAAAGGCGTTTTTGGAATTTTTCTTAACTTATAATTATATAAATCTTAGAAAAAATATTAATTGGTACATCGATCGGGTAGATTAAAAATATTTTAAAAATTTTTGTGAAAATATAAGTACGTGAAAATATAAGTATATGTGTGTGGTTGCACAGCATTGTGACTCCCGTGTTTAAAAAATATGATCGGCAGCATTCAAGTTATAATTATCAAAAATGAAAAGTTCTTGAAAATTTTGGAATTATACATTATACATATTTTCAAATATATTTTTAGTTAAACTTATGAATTTTTAAAATAAAAATAATTTTTTTTCACAAAATAACGGCAGTTTGAAAAGATCTTCAAAATTTCATATTTTGATATTTTTAAACATTGTTCTCAGAAAGTAAGAATTAAAAAAAATCTATATTCTAACTAAAATTATTCATTTTGTGAAATTATTTTTGAAACCTGAAGCTAATCAGTTGAAAATTGTTCTAGTTATAGATATCGCTAATTGAAAAAAAGTGATTTCGACAAAACGTTAAAGTTTGATTATTTATTACCACAGTTTTCACCACAGTGAAACTATTATCGATGAAAATACCAATATAATAGGCTACATAGGAGAATTTTTATAGCCTAAATACATGGAGCTAGGCAGAACTCAAGTTTGACTAAAGATCATTTTAAAAGAACTGGTTAGATGTGCATATTTTCATTATAACTCATACAATTGAAATACTTTGAATTTCATTAAAATCTTTTAGGAGCATAATTCTAAAACATTAATCTTTCGAAAAATATTAAAAAATTCGATTTTTTTTAATGTTACTGTAGCATACCTCTTTAATCATAACATTACAGCCTATTATATATGTTAAAAAAATAATAGTAAAAAAATATTTGTCATCATTGATATATAGTATCATTGAACTTTTGAACATAGTGTTCATGGAGTTTCAGAAGTAATTTTGTATCTGTATTAATCAATATTGCGATTTTTCAGGAAAAGAGATCATAGATCTTACCCTAGACAGAATACGCAGATTAACAGAGCAATGTAAAGGCCTACAAGGGTTTTTAATCTTCCATTCATTTGGCGGTGGCACAGGATCCGGATTTTCGAGTCTGCTCATGGAACAATTATCCGCCGATTATCCGAAGAAAAGTAAATTGACTTTTAGCATTTATCCGGCACCACAGGTAATATTTTCGCTATTTTATAAAAAAATATTTTGAATTTTGCTCAAAAATTTTGATCCTCCTTGGGAGAAAAACTGAAATGTAATATATGAGGTGTTCCTTAAGTACATTGCCATACTCAAGGGGGTAATTCTTTGGTCTATTTCAAATAAAAAAGTTCATATAAACATGTGTCCTAAACGACTTAGTTTCCGAAATATAGTGTTTTCAAAAAAATTTAAACGTGTAGTAATCAAAGAGCTTATATACATAGAGTAGAGAAGGCATAAGGATCCCTGCAAGTAGAAATGTTAGGCAATATAAAGAAAAAAAAGATAGAGAGAGCATCTTTATCCTTGTTTAATGTTGTGCGCGCAACAAGAATGCTGATGGGCCTCTTGTTTTCTTGTCTTCTTCTATCTGCTCACGCATTCTTAGCTGGTTCCCCTACTCCATATATATAAGCTCTATAATAATAATCTGTCTATTTGGACAAAAGAAATACAATTTGAACTAGTCAAAAACAGAAAAATAAAAATAGACTTCAGTTCTTCTGATGAAATAAAACAATTAAATGAATTGTTGAAAATGTCCACCTTCCGCCATGATATATTCTTCGATCCTTCTTCTCAAAGAGTGACCTTTACGCTCAAAGATATCAAGTATGTTGTTCAGGTGAAACAAGGTGTACTTATGCAATTTACTATGTCGTCAAACATTTGCGAACATTCACCTGTTCATAACGTTTCCTGAACTCATTCACTAAGTCGTTTAGGCAAACTTTTTCGTCGTTTATATAAACTTTTTTACTTGAAATAAATCAAAGAATTGCTTCCTTGAGTATAGCAATGGACTTAAGAAACACCCTATACACATATATATTTCTGCTTATGATAGACATTTAATTATATTTAATATATAAACTAATTTTCCAAAGAATTGATTTATTTATTGAATTATCTAATTACTCCGCTCATTACGAAAATATTTACATTTTTATAGGTGTCAACTGCAGTAGTGGAACCCTATAATGCAATTCTGTACACCCATCCTACCTTAGAGCATAGCGAAGTGGCTTTCATTGTAGATAATCAGGTTTGTATCTTTGTGCAAAATCGACATATTGAATCTAACACCAGTAAAACTTACCGCCGAAATCTCGTAAACGCTCTTATAACTCAGTTATTGATAAATCGATTGCGAAATAAAGAGAATTTTTTTCAATATGGATTTTACTAGCATATTGCGTGTTTCTGTTTAACGTTTCACGTGTCTAAAATAAAGTTTACTAGGACAATGTTTCCTATATACATATATACTGTTACACATTGAGCGATGTAATAGTAAAAACTGTCACTACAATCGCGTGTTATTCGTAGGCCATTTATGAACTGTGTAGGAGAAACTTAAATATTGATCGTCCGACTTATACGAATCTGAATCGATTGATTGGACAAATAGTCTCATCTATCACTGCCAGTTTGCGATTCGATGGAGCCCTGAATGTCGATCTTACTGAATTCCAGACGAATTTAGTGCCTTATCCACGTATTCACTTCCCGCTCGTAAGTATCGTTTGCTAAAAATGATAAATGTAACGTTTATAATGTGGAAATTGAACCGAGTGAAATTAAATTGAGTTTATTTATCTGATCGATAGTTAGATCTTAATTATATATTAATTATTATATTTTATTATACAGGCTACATATGCTCCCGTTCTATCAGCGGAGAAGGCTAGTCACGAGAGAGTGACTGTTGCAGAGATAACAAACTCCTGCTTTGAGCCAAATCACCAAATGGTGAATTGCGATCCACGTATGGGAAAATATATGGCGGTATGTTTATTGTATAGGGGCGATGTGGTACCTAAGGATGTAAACGCGGCGATCGCAACAATAAAGCGTCAAAAACATGTGCAATTCGTCGAGTGGTGCCCGACAGGGTTTAAGGTACAGATTACAAAATAAATGCACTCAAATTATTTTATGACAAACAAGAATTCAAAAATCAATAAATTAACAAGCAAGAATCAAGAAAGTTTTTATGATAGTCAAGTATATTTTAAAAATTTGAAATTTATCATATTTTTAATATGAATGTATAAGCTTCTCTTGATTTATTTTACAAAGATTTTAAATCTTATCGCAAGTATTACCACAAATGATTGATAGGTGATTGATATTGATTGATAGGTGGGAATAAATTATCAGCCACCTACCGTCGTACCGGGTGGTGATCTTGCACGAGTGGAAAGAGCAGTGTGCTGTCTCTGCAACACAACGGCAATTGTGGATGCGTGGGCTCGACTCGACCATAAGTTTGATCTCATGTATGCCAAACGAGCTTTTGTACATTGGTAAGTGTAGGCATAAATATAAATAATACTGTTACCATTCTTGCTAACACATCCAGATTAATTATCAAAAATTTTCCTGTTCGACTAAACTCCTTTGAATTTAATTGATGATCAATCTGTTCGTCAAATAATAATTATGTAATTTGGTCCATTAATCTTATTCAATCATCTAGCTTACTTAAATATAACTTAAACATTCTAAATAACTTGTTGCAGGTTTGTTGGGGAAGGCATGGAGGAGGGTGAATTCTCGGAAGCTCGGGAAGATCTAGCCGCCTTGGAGCTTGATTATCGTGAAGTGCAAGAAGATGCCGTTAATACCGAGGAAGAAGAGGAGTATTAAGCTCGCCATCACTATAAATTCGATACTAATATATGTTATAAAATTCTATCGCTTATGTCACATGTTTCGGAGTTCTTTGATTTACATTACCTATCGTCATTGGCGATACTCCTACAGATGAATTATGTCCTTACAAATAAATTATTTGTACATTCTAACCAATGTGCATTCTTTTAAAGCGAATCTACTTTAATAATTTATATTCCGTGCGTTAGCGGATAAATTACGAAATTCCGTCGATGATGTATTGATAATTTATCGCTGGAGTACTGTCAAATCAGAATGACACTTACAAATTATCAAGAATATAGATAGAGCATGGTGATGAAATATAAGAAGTGAAGGCACCAACAATTGAGAATTGGAGTGATCATGCATGATTGTTGAAAATTTTAAACAATTAGCTATTATTAATTTATTATTCCCCTATTTTTTAGAAAATACATATTTAGAGCTTGCTCATATTTAATTTTATTTAAAATTGCATTTTTATACTGCATCTGTGCTATCTACAAAAATGATAACTGTAGAAAAAAAATTATAATTTTTGTGGCAATATACATACCCAGCAAAATAATAGCAATTTGCTAGCAGATTGGCAAATTCGATCAGGGGATTAATTATGTAATTTCACGTGAAATTTCACGTATATCCAGATAACAAAATATTTCCACGGTACTTGTACAGTGAACGTATGTCGAATCGTACGTATCAGTACTATATGTGGTGAACAATGCGTTGCCTATATCTGCAGTTTAGGCTAAAATTGCCTAGATAACCAAGCGTGCGACTCCCGCACAAAGTACCAGTATCGTATTTGTTACTGTACTGCTACGAGATGGCGGGGTATGGAGTAACTGTACAGTAGTAGTACAAAAAGTGTACATGATACAATACAGCGTATCATCATAGTACCTGTAATGCATATTGTTCGGTACATATTGCATACTTAGGAAATATATCGTACCAATATGACATACACCTGAACACCGTACATGAAACACCGATAAAATTATTAAATTTGATTATATTTTTAACTTTTCTGAATGTAATTTTGTGTAAATTTGCCTGTGCTTTATTGTGAGTTATTTGTATATATGTTTATGACAAATTATAGTTTTTTTTTATAGATTATAGATATAATTAATATATTATAATTTTATTTTAGTCATGCGATGTCAGCTGACCATTTTTTTGTATAACGGGTATTTTTTGTAGTAACTAAATAATAGAAATAAATGTTGTGATTTACAAATATACCAATATTACGTTTACATATTAATAAATTTCTTAATTGCAAATTATGGTTAATATATAAATATGTCATATTTGCAAAATATGATTATTTTATAATTGTAATGCGCATGCGTATCCACCACGCATGCGCATTACAATTATAAAATTCTTCGACGTAATTTTGCTCCTTTTATAGAAGGTTCCGAGTACATCTTTGCGCATGCACAGTACAATTATAAAATAAATTTGTTTGCAATTAAGAAATTTATTAATTTATAAACGTAAAAATTAATAATTTATAAGGCACAAACAATTTTCTATCAATTATAATTTATCTGTTATCACAAAATCTGTTTATTCCTATAAAAACTAATTTTTGTCACAAATGTTAAATGTTAATAGACTGAAGGCCGTAGTACATAAAAAAACTTAAACAGTAAGATTTAAAAAAAAATTGAGTTTATAATTCGTTAACTTATGCCGGAATCGTAAAAAATTGGCCAAACACAATTGAATGTGAGAAGAATAATCGATTCTGATTGATCAATTTTTTACAGATCCGACATAAGTAAACAATTATGGCATAATATAAATCAGTCTGTACTGTTTAAGCTTTTTTATGTGTCTTGCTCCTTATAATCAATCACAAATGATTTACAAACAAAATATACTTACAAGTTAATAGTAGCATCGCTGATTTTGTATATTGATAACCTTTGAATATGTTGTAGCAAAGAGACACATATTTTTCTTTATATGTGCCCATATGGTCGTTAAGGGGATGAAACACTCTTTTGAAAAAAAAATTTCGAAAAAATAACATTTTCGAAAAATCTGATTGCACTATCAAAATTGACATGTATAACATACATAAAACTTTTTTTATATCTTTTACTATTTCAACTGACTATTTGCTCAGAAATATAAAAGATCAATTTTTTCAAGGTTTGACATTTGACTAGTGTTACTTATCGGAAAAGTTAGATATAATTAAATTTAAATTTTATTTAATTTCTATTAAATTTAATTTCTGCCGGCTATGTTTCATATAGATTATGGCATAGTGAAACGGACTAAAACCTAAAATAAATCCATAAATATACATAATTAATTAATTAAATAACTTTTTATTTAATTATTCTAATATTTAATAATTAAATTATTCTTTAATATTAATTTAACAATGATAATATTTATTTTTTAAATGATATAAACTTTTTAAATGATACTTTTAAATGATGACTTTTTTAAATGATATATTATATGAGAGTTTGAGTTGCGGTGCTGTTTTCATCAAAGTTTATCTCAGAATGGATTTTATTTCTATTTTTTGACGTGCAAGCGGCGCGACAAGACAAGAGATCCAATATCTCACGTTGTCAATTGACCAGTTACATACTAGAATCTTTTGATTGGTTAACTGTGCTGGTTGCCTTAAATCGCAGTATCGTGCGATGTGTGCATCAGGCTTAACTAGTCCCTCCCAGCGCGACGATTTTGTTTTGTCATTCTTCTTGATGCTAACATTTTTTTATATGGACATGTTTCTCTTACTCTTGTAATTTTTCGAATTATCATTTCAGAGGAATACGTCAGAGTAAAGAGTAAAGAGTCATTTACATCCATTATCTGAGGTAAGTATAAATTTTTCATATAACAGTTAATTGATAATATTAATTTTATCTTTCTTTGGATTTAGCTCGGCGTTTAAACCATTGGGTTTAACCATTAACATAGTTTAAAACTCGATGTGAAATCTGTGATTAAAGCTATGAAAGCGAAAGAAGAAATAATCTATATATTCTTATAAATAAGTAATTTTTTCTCTAAAATTCGCAATGTATGAGTGCATGTTGCGTTTGTTTCTTTCACATTCATAGTTTCAAGCACGGATTTCATATCCTCCTCCGAAACTTGCCACTTATTTCTTTTTCAATACTACTTTTTCAATATTTACTTTTTAATACTAAAACAATTGCTAATTGCAATGCTTTCAAATTCACGTATTGTTACAAAATAGTGTCTCTTATAGATTACTTTTTCCATCAAATATTTTTTGATCATATATACAATATTCAATAATATGTACGACTATCGAATTATCCGTACAAAAGAAGAACGGATATTTTTCATTGAATATCCTCACTGAATTTTTTGTCTGACCAAAATGATCGTCAATATTCCTTTGTAACTTTTTGAAAAGATCCTTTCTCTTTTCGAAAAAAAGTATTTTTTCTATAGAATTTTCCACTAATTTATAATTTTTAAATTATTTTTATTTTAAACTTTTTATTAATAAAAATTTAATTTTAATTTTTAATTATTTATTTTAAACATTTTATTTTAATTTTTTTAGCCAATTGTAAAATAATTTAATTTGAAAAATATTTATTTTTTGTTCTAAAATTAAATAAAATTAAATATCTTAAATATTTTGTCTCTTATTTCTTGTATAATAATTTTTGTATAATAATTTTTGTATAATAATTTTTAGCATATTTATTTACATGAAATCTCAAGATTCTCGCCTTTTTAAAAGAACTTTTTATTTTAATCCACTCATTAAGAAGAGAGTGGGTAGAATGAAAAG